TGAAATAATAAACAAGCGAAATGGAGAGAGACAAAAAGTTTTTTCTTCCTGCCCTCTAAGAGGGAGGTTCCTGAAAAGTTCAACCTGGCGTCAAGCTATACGTTCAATCTTTCCCACTTGACGATGTCAGCCTCATCAGCTCGCGTCCGATAAGCGTCGGCCTACCACTACTTTCACCCCCGACCGGCACAGCGAAAACAACCCTCCCTCGTCTATCCGTTCTCCGCCGCCTGGTTTTCTACCCCTTCCCGTATCGTGGCCGCCGGACCACTAGCAATCCCCGCGGGGCGAAGCACACGGTCCTACCGCACGCGCGGCCGGATCCAGTCGCACTTCGAACCCCGAGAAGATCGAGCGTGCCGAGAGAGCACCCGTCGTAATCCTGGACCACGTAAAAGGACGCCTCGGAGGATCGTGCCGGGATCTTCTGGCATGCAATCAGGAGCATGCAGGTAGGATTCTCCCTGCCGTTGACGACCGACGCGCGCTCCGTTTCTCCAAGTGGATATACCTACATAAACTCCCGCACGCGAGTTTGTTGATCCCTTCTCCCCGATTTCATTTTGACACTAACATAATTTATAGAAAATAATTTCTGAAGGTTGAATGTAAATGTAAATGAGTTTCTTGGTTTAGCGAACAAACTAGATATGCGCGGTTGAAAAGAGTGATCCAATTTTTTGTGCGATCGATTTTTGAAATCATTTTATGATGTTACGTATAATATTCTGTAGGATTTGTCGGTATATAAATTGCTCTCAGTGTCATTAATGTCCCTTTCTATCAATTTAGATTAACTTTCCAAGTAGAACACAAAAATTGCAATACCATAACGACATCATCGTGACTTCATTTGTCACTTATAGGTTTATCAGTTATGTTTATCAAATGATACGATGATGTCCTATGATATCATTATAACTTAATTATGACTCTGTGTTTTACTATCTGTATGACTCTACGTTTAACTCTCTAATAATTTATTTTTTATTTTCTTCAAAATTTTTAAAAATTAAAAAAATGAGGAATAAATTAAACCGAGATTAAAGTTAATCTATATGTATATTGATGTAATGTAGAAATAGTGCTTAAAAACGTCGAAATTGAAATATCAATCGATTCTTAATTGAAAATCTGTCGCATTCCTTATCGGAAGTCAACTACGTAAGAAGCATACAGGTGGGTCGAGGAGAATGTCCTAAGCGATTGGTAAACCGCAACTATTTCAACGCAAACATTTGATATCACACGAAATAGATCAATAACCTTGTTGCTCAAATAAACAGAACAAATTTAAGTATTTCTTTACATATCTGTATATTTTTTGGCAAATTCACTATCTAATAATATATTTCATATTTTTGTATTTATACAGTTTTTTGCGCCTATAGCGTTTTGTGCGTTTTGCAAAATGAACTTACCTCGCTATATTTTGTCTCTTTATCACTTCTACACATTTCTAAAACGTATTTTACGACATTGAATTAAATTACACTGAGATGTGACTGCTACGAAAACTTGTTGAATTCAGTTTACAAGCAGCTTTCCGCGCTTTAAAACTAAAGGAATTTGAAAATTAATGTAACAAACACACGGCAGACGGTTTTATATTTTGTACGAGAAACTCTTCCTTTGACATACATTTTTATTTTATATTACTTAACAGTGCTTTAGAGTCAAGTTCTTTCGTTTTCTCTCATTTTTAAAATTTCCCGTAATCAGCAGGCTATGTAAAATTATAAAATATAGCGAAATTATGAAACTAAAATAAGTTATATTTATTCTAATATTTCATAAAATATCTATGTTGAAGTTGGAGATTTAACTCCATTGATAATTAAATGGCTCGACAGGCTCAATCTGTCATGGATTGCGAAATCATGAATTCACTCTGTTTCGAAACTATTTTCATATCCGAAAACTTGCACGAAAAACATTGGAAAGTTTAATGGTTTCTTAACAAAAGTCTTTTCATTCAGTCAAGACAGGCATTATGCCAGGAAAACGATCTCCGCTCCTTTTTTCTTACTCTCATCGATCGCCGACGCGTGCCAAGGCCAAGCAAGAAGACGAGATCTACAGTCATGGTCACGAACAAGCACATGTCTCTTTATAGTTAAATGAATCGGTACTCCGTCCTGGTATTATTAACAATCACCCTTCTATGTTTCCAATCGATTAGCTATCTTTGTAATTCATTTCTAATGACCTTTCAAACCTTAGGTGGAATCTCACAAAAGGAGTATATTGCATTAAAACTGTATTTAGCTTCCTCCCCACGTTCGATCGAATAGTAACGTAAAGTATGTGATCGCTATTTAAACCTGTCCACGAAAACTGACATACATACACACGAGGGATACGATATTTTTGCAAGAGTGTCATAAATCATAGAGAAGTCATAAAATGTGGGAGTCATAAAATACGGAGAGTGTCATAAAATGTGGGGAAACGAAAGTTTCGGATCGCGACGTTTTCAAACAGAGTAGACTTATCGTCTCGCAATCTTATGAATTTCTGATAGTTTGATCCTGCCTAGTCATTTATAATTATCACAATGGAGTTAAATCTCCGACTTCAACAAATATGTGATAAATATTAAAATGAATAAATATAATATTTATTTTAACTTAATAACTTTGCTGTACTATAAAGTTATATTTTTTAATTTTATAGGGCCTGTTGATCTTGACAGAATCGTGTGGTTCACCCATAGAGCAGTTCACGATACTTTTATCGTCGCGTTTCATAGCTGTTAAATTAAATAGATTCAGGAAAACTCATTACGAGATTTGTGCAGCAGTTTCTCGACACAAGAGGCACGACACAATTTACTTTAACTTTCTACGAATTTGACTCGGGGAGTGACTCTTAAAGTTTGATAACTTCTGTTTGCAAGATTTGTTTGAACGTAAAAATTCGCCAACTCTCAAGCGGGCTGCGTTCATTTCGCCGGATCCACGACGTATGCTCTCAATTGCAGACCTTTCGACTCCTCGTCGATTTCAAATTAATTGAAGTCGGAGATGAAAGAAAGGGCTTTCCGAAAGACATATTCTTGTAGTTGTTCCTCGCGCATGTAGTCTTTCTCGCGCTCTTTCGCGTTCGGTTTCCACTGGTCAATTTGGACTGCCGCCAAGTTCGCATCTCACAACTTCCATTTGGCGGAAGTCTCGTAAGAAAAAAGAGAATGGAAAAGCGTTTACACATCTGGCACGCAAATTGCGTTCGAGTGTGACGGATGCAAAGTAACGTTCGATTATTTGTGCTGCATTTCTTGCGGCCTGAATCGATCGCGATTGTAACGAGCGACGCGACGTAAATTCTGGAAATCTCTCTCCAAAAAAAAAGGAATAAAACAAACATGGGTATTTTTTCTGCTTTAACTTTTAATCGAGTTAATTTTTTTTATTGCTTGGCAGATGACTTCTACTATCGAAAAGATACCACGTTTTTGCAACGAGTCAACTTTTTATTACGGCGAAAACGAATTTGTACTTTTAAAAAAACTCTGCATTATCGATTTAAACACCGTGAATTCCTCTCTCAACGACTTTTAGCGTGACTTTTAGCGTGAGAGTAAGAAAATGTTTGATGAATTTTGCTTGTCAGTGCAAACATTAAGGAATAGCGTAGAAGAATCAAAAGGAGAAAATGCAAAGCTATTAGGATGGACATGCGACACACTTTCAATATTTTCATTCCATTTGCGACTGTTGTTTTTCTTCCTTCGCCTGTCACGGAGCGGTAATTAATTAATGTGTAGCTTCGTGTTTCGATTTCTCGATTAATATATTTCGGGTACTACCCTTCGTCATATCGCCACACACTTCCTGCTCGCGCGTTATCGATCTGTTTCATTTTCTTCTTTGGTCAACCCTTAACTTTACTCTCCGAAGGACATGAATCATTCCTTTTTTTACACAATAGAAAAAGTATTCGAAATATAAATGAAATGATGGATTTATATTGTCCTTGTATAATGGTCCCTACTCTTAATACCTCTGCTATTAGGTAGCGAATGTGTATGATTATTTATGGCTCACATACAACTGTAACCAAATGCTGTGTCTTTTTAAATAAAATTAATTTTTTAAATTGATTTTTATTGATGTTCACATTTCGCATTATTATTATTGTTTCTTTTATTATTCAGTAACGCCACATTTTTATAAATAATTTAATTTAACTTAATTTAATTTAATTTAATTTATTGTGAACTCTCACAAAATTACATTAAATGCGAAAGCATGTGAATACCATACATAAATGGGATGAAGCATTAGTATAAAGCTACTGCTGTAAACCTACCAGAATAAGTTTATGTAGCAATTGACTGACTGACAATAAGACAATACATTACTAATATAATTACTATACTTAAATTGAAAGAAAATAATGTCCTGAGTAATAAATATTTCATAACTTTAAGTCTAAAATGAATAACACTTTAACTAACGTAATTATTATACTTTAATTTTAAATCTTAATTATTAATAAAGTTATTGTATAAAATGTAAATGGAGGAACTATAATATACCATTTTCTCCTCTACTGTCCTTTATAGTAAATATATTCTACAGAAATCGACTTATAGAATTAGAAATAGAAAGGAAAACAGGAAGACGCAAATTCAGATTTCGGAATAAGCTACGCGTTTTTCAGCAACCGCACTTCCTCGTACTCGCGCTTTATCGATTCGTTTTGCAATGCTTCTGCGGCCTGTCGCCTTTTTCTCGACGCTTTTTTGTACACCGGAGCGACCTTTGCAAGCTCGTCGCACCGGAAACCAGCGAGCCGTTTATCCCCCGATTGCGCCCTGTAGATGTACGCGCACCGGTCTGCGTGAATGCGATCTCGCGCGGCGAGACGTGCGAGACATTTTGAACTTTAAACCATGTATTATTATCCATCGTTGTCCGCACACAACACGTCGTCGCAGGTTTTAATAAAAATCAAGATCGCTCGATCGACAGAGAGAGAGAGCTCTTGCGACGAATATGCTCCAGCGCGAAAAGGCCGAAGGTGAGGCACGAGCAAGGATAGGAATAATAACTCATTGAGAAATTATGAAGATGACAGTTCAGATTGTACTTTACTTTTTCATTTCGACTGATCACGTGGCATAACGATGATGCAGGTTTTTCAAATCATCAGTGTAAAAACATTTACATTAAATTGGACGATGAAATCTGACCGGTATCGTTTAGTAACTTGAAACTATTTTCATAGTTCGTGATTGAAAAATATATCACTTTTGTTCTTTTTTCGTTTACACAATGATGTTATTCGAGATCCAAGCTTCATCCAGGTTGTATCAATAAAGGAATTACGTTAACTAAATAAAATCATATTGATAAAAGCTCAGATTTCAAAAAAATAAAGAGCCTGTTATTTCTCAATAGTCGCATAAAATATTATCGGAAAAATCTATATTCTTCCTTAATATATGCATCTTTTGATAACATCGACTTATTTAAAAAGAATAATAGTTTATTTTTAGAAGCAAGCATCTTCCTTTCTGATAAAACAGCGTAAAGAATACGCTACTTCGTTCATATAAATGGATGTACCTTACGAAAAATATAAACGCGAGGTGCTACTGTGTCTCTTGATTTACTGAAAAAAATTTTTGGCATTCATGTTTACAATTGTATGATAAAATATTTTTAATTACTGCTAAATGTTAGTAATTAAAATTCTATTTGTAGTTTTGTATACAAAAAAGAATTATACAATTATAATTATAATAATTATATTTATTAAAATAATTATAATAATTATATTTATATTTCTATAAGGTAAATGTACCAATTAGTGAAAATGATTATAAAACAAAATAACAAAAATTTTAAATATTAAAACTTTTAATAATATGTATGGTTCTAAATAAATTCACATAAATGGAAAATATTATATTTAACCAAGATAATTCTTTGCGCTTAATAATATTTTTTGTAAATTTATACAATTTCCAATTTAAATAGACTATACACCGATTATTTGTCAACTGGAAACACAGTCTTAAATAGAAACTAAAATAGTAATATTACTAATTAGTTGACAAACGATTTATTATTATTGATGCAAATAAGCACCTTATAAAGCTGTTAATAATTATATTTTAAATAAATTACATTCTATATAATTAAATTCTAAATACATTTGTTATTATATTTATGTAGGCGAATTTATATACATACATATATATATATATATATATAGTCATACATTTATTAAAAGCTTAATATTAAAATTTTTGTTATTTCGTCCGATAAATTGAGTTATGTCCTCTAACTGTCTACTAACTGATGTGTACATTTATTTTATATACTGAAGAATATAAATGGTTGTTCCAGAAAATGACTGTAAATATTACAGTAATAACTAAAAACGTTTTACACTATGCAATTATATAATTATAAATATTAAAAATTTTTCTGTATATATGTTACAAATATTAATATAATCGTATCTCTGATATGACCTTAAAGATATTTTGTGGGATTACGAATGAACGATAAGCAGGCATGTGCACGATATTTCGTGACAAATGTTCTCAGAATAGCGTATCACACGGAAGTTTCAATTTATCACAATTTTGCAATAACAATCCGTGAAAATTTGTGTTCCGTTATGCGATGACAAACTGAGAATTTATGTTTCCATCATGTCAGGTGTGTCAAGGTATTCTTCCATTTTGATTAACAAGTACATGCAAGAGATTCTCTCTGTTACTTTTATTACTCTTTTTAAAACGTCATTAGGATGGAAGTAAAGCTCGCGGTAGCGAAACAACTGAGTATCGCATCGATTAATCTGCTCTTGAAACGCGACCATGGCTAAAAATATTTCTTTTCAATATTTCACATGCTAATACCCAGCCGTGAAGGACCGGCCTTTTATGTGGCGCGAACGCAGAAAATGTTTGTCTCGTGCTACGGCGACATTACGAAGTTTCTAGCGGCGATATTTATTATCGGCAGTCATCGAGCAGCTAAAAGTCGCAAGGCGTTCTCGCGTTCTCGTGTCGCACAATATATACGCGAGCCTCGTAATATTTCAAAGTCAATACAGTTTCAAGTGCATGCCACAAACAATAAAATTAAAATCTTGTTTCCTTTTTATTATTCGTATTTAAGGTATTATTATGAGTATTATCAAAGTGCACTTTATTTCGACACTTCCAACTATTTGAAGAACCTATGCAAAAAAACAAAAAAAAAGAAATAACATTCCTTCTAAAAAAATTTATATTAACGTGTATAAAAGTCTCAGGCCAAATGAATTTTTTATGTGTTCTTTCAAAAACGAAAACAAAGAAATTTTGACTGGTATTATATTGTATCGTATAAATACATTTATTTCTTATACGCATTTATGGTATTATAATTTTCTTTAAATGGTATACATTATATACACAGCTAGTATGCTCGTTAAGTAATAGGATTGATTTTTCCTCTTATGTTAGCAACCTCCAACCTGTTATGACTAACCACGTCCTTGATCTTTTCTCTACTCTAATCCCAACTAGCACAACTAGCGTTGTTTCAGTTTAGAGCAGCAGCTTGAAGTATTAAGATACGTTTGTGTGGTTTGTAACAAAAATGAAACTATATAATATCATACAGCGTAAGTCATCTTTTTTGTGAACTTTTGTGACAAAAAAGATGTGCTGAAGCTTTGCGTATACATTGCGAATAAAAAAGATAGTATATTACTGTTCGCGATATTACGTGTGATTCCATTTTTATTATGCAAGCAACACAGGAAGTTATTAACACTTTAACCCTTTCGTGTCTGACTTTTTTCTAGGAATAATTAACATTTAATTCACCGATCACGAATCTGTGTAGTCAAAATTTCCATATGGCAGATAATTAATTAATCAAAATATGTTTTTTGGATTTAAATCAAATTAGCGAAAGAATTCGCTATCTTTATGGAAAATATATGTACTTTTCACTTTTACACTCTTTTTTTTATGCGGTATGCAGATTAGTGAAACTCAAAAAGATGTTAATGTTTTTGTATAAATAGTTCTATCCTTCACCCTTCGCGTAAAATGAGCCCAGAAAGAAATTGCTATCTTTATTTCTGTACAAATATATCTCTATCCTGCCTGCAGGCGAAAGGGTTAACTTAATTGCTACTTTAGATTGAAGCAACGCAGAGCCAGTCCGAGTTGGATTATGAAAAGGATCAAAATCAAACATGGCAACAAGAAGCAGGATTGCTAATATGAAAGAAAAATATCAGTCTTCTTATTTAATGGGAACACTGTGTAATACCTATACTAAGAAAAACTGCTTTGATCTTTAGTTTAGAAAAAAAAAAAACGTAAAAATCTATTTGGCCAGAGACTATTGCATGCCACTGTATATTACAAAATTTATAACAAAATTGTAAAACTATTAAGTCGTTCAGCAGAAGCCACTGAGAGAGTTGGGTTTGTGCCTCAATACGGGGATATCAACGGGTTGCTCAACCAGCAACGTTGTCATCGCCGAAGTCTGCAACGAAACGCGCGGGGCACTTCCGCTTCTTCAGGTATGGCCCAGCGATTCGCCCAGAGCCGATACCGACGAACAGGCCCCGGCTTTTGTGTTCCCAGATGTGCAGGAAAGTGTCAACGACAGCGGTATCGAATCCATCCAGGTGTGACTTTTACGTGATATTATTTTCCTTATCAAATCTCTAAACACATAAATCAATATTCTTAAACAGTGCTCGCGTGAATTAAACATAAGTGTTCTCAGAGCAATTTTATGCCGTAAACTTTACTGCATTGTTAAAGTCATAATGTGAAATTATACCTAATTTAAGTTATTTTTAACCATTTCTACAGTTCACCATTATTCCTACTCAATATGTTATTTATTATAAACATCTGTTAGAGGATAGGGTCTATTTTTAAAACCTTAAACTTTTTCCTTGAGTAAGATTTATAATTTAAGTTATAATTCATAATTTTATTATATTCCTTGCCTCAAAATATTACACTGTCTCAGCGTCATTATAAGGCTCTTTTTTCCGATCTGCAAAGAAATTACTAAAACAATAAAGTTAATTAAAGAACTTAATTTAGAAAATGTAAATTTGATTCACAAGACTTCCTACTAATTATATGAAAAATTAAATCTCGGTATATAGTTAGTGCAGAGTACTTTATTATTTATTAATAAAATAAGCGTATATATACATTAATATGCTGTTTTAGCTGTTTACTTTGAAACTAAGCAATTCAATCATAAGAATGAGTTGATTAAACGAATGTTACTTTTTAAACACAATTTTTGAATGAAAATAATATTTACAACACACTTGAAAGTAAAATAACAAAATGTTATTTAACTCAAGGAATTGGTTTAATTGATCCTTCAACGTTTAACAATGTGAGAATGGACGTTTTAAAATCCAAAATCCTTTTCGCGTAGAACAACGTTGATCATATTTTCATTAAAAGCTTTTTGCACGAATTAATTCTTGCCTTGTCATAACAGGAAAAAAAACCTTAATTAATTTTTATGAAATGCGTTAAAGGCGTCGCCGTCGCCATGCGGTGTCACCTGCAACAGTCCGGCGATGACGCCGCAGCAATCGCGTCGTGCCAGCCTGTTACATCCGGATCACGCGCGACTGCAGCATTATCTTCATTACAACCACCATAACATGGGAGTAAAAAGTCCGCCATCGCCGGACAAAATGTCTTTGGATGAGGACCACGAAGATCGACCCGCGCCACCAAGTCCCTCCAGTTCGACCACCAGCAGTTTACGATCGATGCCAAGCTCGGCGATCGTGTCAATGCACTCACAAGACAGGAGACGTAGCAGCAGGTAATTGACTTGATATGTTCTCATCGCACTCTACCTTTAGCCAATGAACCAATCTTGTTTTTATCTTTATATTTTTTTATTGTAATTACTTTAATTCTCTTCTCTATAATGACCATTGATAACATAAAATGATTAAAAGCGATATAATTATAATTATTAACGTTATAGCAGTAACTATAAAAATTTTAATCGTATAATTATTGTACTAAGCAGTTATAAATATTAACCGCCTTACAGTATAGATCATTTTAGCTATATAATAGCAACATTGCATCAGAATGCTCTGTGCTGTATGAGCGAATATTTTCTCTCAGTGTAATAAAGTTAGCCCATATTGTCATGAATAGGATTTCGGAGTAGTGACTATAAGTTTAATACAAAAAGTATTTTATTGCAAGTAATATTATCCTTTTTTTTTATCTTCTTGTGTTGGTACGAAGTATCGGCGAATATATCTGTATTCTATTTTCTGACCTTATCCTTGGCCGCATATATACGCGTTTCAAGCAAAGTCTCAGATATCCGAACGGCAGGAATAATCTATTGTGGAGCACGCGTTCAATGTCGAACTCGGTCTTGACTCGTGTCAAGGAACGACCTTGACACGATGCAAATATACGTCACGACGTATCAGCGTTACGATTGTATATGTATGCGAACACGCGCGCATGTATATGTAAGTGCTGTGGTAGAATTATTCGTCACTTGTACGAGTTCTTGTCACAAACACTGAGTGGTTCTTTCTATAAAGAGGACCTCGAGAAAATCGCTCTTCTCCCCTAATCTTGAGATCGACCGCGCCCCAATTTTGTTCTTTTTTGCTGACTATTAAATTGACAATTTGAATGTGATTGAGAGATGACGTTATTTCTTAAGATGTAAAAAAACATCTTTTATAACAAATCTTTAAAAGATTTATCTAGTTTTAAATATTGACATTACCTTAGCAGAAAAACGAGAAAGATGGGAACATATTATACACAGTGCTCAGTGTTATGGTTTGAGGTGAGAAACTACAATAAATCTTACTTAAAGAGGAAAGCTGTAAGATTTGAAAAATTGACTCATTCGCTCCGTGAACGTTAATTACGTTGGTATCACACTCTTGACATTGATATAATATTTGGAGACAATGTCTACATACGCCTCCATCTCAGCGCTTCCGACTAAGCCGGAACGATACAACTTTTAATTCCGGTAATTTAAGAGAGACTCCATTTTAGTTTTTCCTAATAAAGTAATTTTCACGTTAGAAAGTTGAAAATTTTACGAATCTCTTTTGGCACGTGACAAGCTTACAAAGAGACAATAAGAAAATTTTCTATTTTATCCTTCTCATAGTGTTTTATATGTAAAAATGATCAAACTCATAGAAATTCAAAAGACATGGTTATCTTCCAAAAATAAAAATTTTTAACTTCAAAATCTAATTAAAAAATTTTTTTAATTTAAATTCTGTTCATTTTTAACGAAGATAAAGCTGCTTGAATTTTAAAGTTTGTAGGGCAACAAATATTTGCTTTAATAATTAAAAAAAATATCTTACTATCAATATTTTGTTGCAATACTTAATTAATTATTAAGTAACATGCTATATTCCCACATTCTTAATTTATCACTTTTTTAAGAATGACATATATTTGATATTACTTAATTTTTAAAAATGATGCATCAAGAATATATTATCTACAATAATATACTTAAATACTGTATGTATATAGTAATTAAGTAAAACAATTAGAACAAGTATTAAAATTATAACGCGTGGTGTAAAATAATTAAAAAATCACCGTGGTTGTTTTTCATTAGCAGATACAGCATGTTCGATGCTCTGGATTTGGAGTATGCTTTACTGAGAGCCGCAGCCCGCGGTTCCGTGGGTCCGTACTCCCTGTCGGAATCCCTCCACAAGTTGACCTTCACCCAGAGTTTAGCCTTTCCTGCTCTAGCGCGTGGTCTTGCCGCCAAGCAGAGCGTGCCAAGCGGGAGGTCTCAGCAGCCGACTGAGAGCGGGCTGAACGCTTTCGCCAAAGTGGTGACCGCGATGGTGCTGATGCTGGTGAGCGTGCTGGTTTTCGGTGTGGTCTACAAGTTCGCTAAAACGTGAGGCTGGCTGCTGGCGCCTGGTCGATATCCTGAATCGATGCAGGATGGCAATCGTCTGGGTGCCGGCAACGTTTTCAGCGATGTCTGATGAGGCCTGATGAAGGGTCTAAATTTCAACCCGCCCCGCGCGAGAAAAAAATTAACAAGCAATGAAGGAAACACAGAACATTGCGTGATACAGTCTGGGATGACGTTTCAACTAAGCATTCGTTAATCCTTCAATGCTGAAATTGATGTGTGAATGGGTCATGAATGGGAAAAACGACTGCGGTACATGACTCAATTTAGAGTAATCATGTCAGGTTGTAATAAGATTTTATACGATATCATATTATCTTTTGGGTGAGGTCTTATTACAAATGCTTTGAAGCGTTTGATCATTTTAAAAGAGAGAATTTGATTAATTGACTAATATCAAAGAAAACTTGAAAGCATTTGTAACATCAAGTTGACCAATCAGAAGAGGGAATTTCATTAATTCACTAATCAAAGAATTCTTCAAAGTATTTGTAACATCAAGTGATCGTACTCTTTGTCACGTAATGATGTATGTATTTACGTATACTTAACGTAAAATTTCAGCGAAGATAACTCTGTCATGAGAAGAAGCGCGAAATTGATAATGAAAGGTATAACGTTATCGATTTGGTCATCTGTTAAATTGATAAGAAATGCGAATGAAATCGTATATACATATAATACATATATATACATATAATAATTACATATTGCGATTTGCGAATATGCATAAATAATATCTGGTGTTGATAAAAAGTTTCGATATAAAAAACATGTAAAATGAGAAAATCTAAGAAGAATTGCAGAATGCATATTTGCTACAAGAGTCTCTAGCTGATTTATTTTCTGAAAATAGTTGTACGTGGAAATCAACAAAGACGAAGGTTTTACATACCGACGAGTGCACTCGATCCAAAGTAACAAATATAAACTTGTATTCTGAGCTGCGGTATCGTCGAAGAAAATATTTCCGCGTCGCTTTCCACGGTACTTCAAGAGCCGCGGGAAACTCATTAAAATGTTCTTCAACTAGTTTTACCGCGCCGGTTGATAGATGGTAACTGGGACGAATCTCAGGTAATATAAGCCGAATTGCAGTTATACGACGAGGAGATGACAATTGTGAGTCGAGTCATCACTCGTTGAACTGTCTATTCCGCGCGGAACATCACAAGTGGGGCGCGCTTTATGCAATTGAGCGAACGCTCGAAACTTCAATCGTGGTTTTAATTCTCCAAAGCTGGCGGTAAATCTATTGGACCCATTCAATTATAAATCTCTTTGTTAAACAGTTCAACTTTTTATCTATAAATTTTAATTATTTTTATTAAAATATATTTAGTATTTATTCTTTTTTATACGAATCATACCAGTTTGGTTTCTTTAAAGTAATTTTTAATGCCTTTTAACCCTCCGTCTGTAATCTGGGCATTTTTTGACATAAGCAAAATTATATATTCTCAAATTTCACTCCTATTTTTGTTCAAATTTTAATATTTATTAAATAAACATTTTAATATTTGAATTAAAAAGCTATTTGGTAATATAATAGAGATTTTGACAAATAATTCTAAAGTAATTTTAAATTTTTCCACATTTTTGGGAAGCCTATAGAATAGTAAAAAAGATTTGAGTGGAACAAACAAGATCCAGAGTGTAGAGGAAGTAAAAATACAATTACGGATAACTTGATGCTAAAATAACATAAACTAGTGGGGTCCTCTTAGCAATCCAGCATCAATAACTGTATACAGATTTCGGCGTTAGCTTTGAAGGCTTGATCACAATTCAAACGTAAATTCTTAAGCAAACTGAAAGTCAAGATCAAACGATCGTAAATAAAATGATTTTTAGGATTATATCTTCGAATTTTTACTGAGACAGAATCTTCTTTAGGTCGCTATCAGATTACGCATTGAAAAAAACTGCGAATGAAGATTGAAAGATTGGAACTTGACCAATCAAAACAAAAAGAGTTAAAATATTTTTTTCTTATTTGTCAAATTTTAATTTTTAATCTTCAATCTCAATCTTCAACGTATAATCTGATTCCGACCTTAGTAATTCTCATCACATTTTTTTTCTTTCAGACATTTGCTCTGAACAGATCAGACCCGTATACATATAATCTAAAAGAAAAGCTTCGTTTTAGATGTGCGAACATAATCTATTTAGAACACGAAATAAAAAAATCATTTTGACCACGCTAGAATTCGTTTAATCGTTTAATTAATTGTGTTGTGTTATCTTATTAATATACCAAAATCTCCTGGCTAATATCTTCGTTGCTTTGCAGTGCCTTGTCCGTGCTCAGAGTCGCCATCTCACACGGACGGCGCATGCGAAGGCATAATCTCGCGAATTTTTTGGAAATATCTAACTGTCCAAGTGCTTTACACAAACTTCTGTCCGTGACAATCGGCCGGGAAGCCCTCGTTCCCGGCAAATTAAATTATAACGTTAAAATGCGACTCGGTGGTACTTCGATTTCCGGCCGGAAACGACGAGCACACCGCGATAAACTGAGTAACTTCCGACGATGTAAAATTAATTCGAAGGCAGCTTATCGTCTATGCTTCGTCTGAAACACGGTCGAAGCTTGAAATCGAATCGAAATCCGATGCGACATTGAATAGTTTTCACACCAGTCGATCAACGTTAAGGCTATCGCGTATTTTTATAAAATCTCATATTGATCGTTACGTCAGTAAGTAAAAATAAACTCAACTCGCTTGTTATATACCTTCTCATTAAAGAATTTTCTAAAGGGTACAATTTATTTTTGCTAAATCTTAAAGTCGATTTCGATTCCGTTTCCAGCATGCGAAAGCTCAAACAGGTATCTTTGAGCTTGTTTCGTACAGCCTAGAGAGAGTCGTTTGTTTTATATATATATAATAAAATAAAATATAATAATTATATAAATACATAAATATATATATATATATATGTATATACAATTATATATGCTGTATATATTTATGATCGTTACGGAGGCGTATCTTCTTTACTTTGATGTTATGCTCTGTACGAAGCAACGAAATTTCTAAAAATATTCCAAGACACGTCACAATATGTAGCGGAACTACCGCTCTTTACTTTTTTTAACTATCACATTGTACGTTGTATACATGTATGTAATGCTAACGTGTTGCTCTATGATATGTGTATAATAAGGAAAAAAATTCTTTCTTTATTCTTCCCTTATATATGCGATAACATACTCAAAACGAATCTTATTACTTTACAATTCTACAAGACGTTATACTGTTCTAAAATCTATTATAGAAATTTGGAAGAAATATATCGCATTTCTTTTGCATTAGAATTAATATTGATTGTGAAAATTTGATACTTTTAATGTGCGATGTCTCAAAATTTTGCGACACAATATAAATATTATAAAACAACATTTTCAAATTCCACTGAAGAAAATGTAAATTTTCGAAGAAATTGCGCTTCTCTTGTACTAGAATTCATATAGACCGTGAAATTTCTATTTCTATATTTTTAAATCTGTATAGTCTCAAAGTTTTGTGCGATATAACATAAAAATTCTGAACAATACATTTTCAAATGCTAGGTACTTGAAGAGAAGATAAATACAACTGTTTTTTCTTCTAAAAAAATTGCCGTGTGTTTCTCTCTAGAATTAATATCCACTGTAAAATTTTATTTCTATTTCTCAAATTTGCGACGTTTTACAATCAGAATTTTGCTGCACAATATGAGAATTTTAAAACGTTTTCAAATGCTTATGTTTGAAAAGAAGGTAAATAGAGCATTTTTTCAGTTGCGTATTCGGCACATATGCGAAACAAGCATAGATCATGAAAAGGCAGCTTGAAAAAAGCTGACCTAAATTATACTGTCTTTTTTTTCATTGTAATGATATTGACTTCGTGCAACGATAATAAAATTATAAACGGAGAAAAACTAGAATATTTCAATTTCATGAATTTATCTTCTCTCTGTGTCTGGATAAAAACTGTAATTAAGGAATGATTCAGAGAAAGATTAAATCAGAAATGTAAAAGTGTGCAGATTGAATGTGGAACAAACGTTCTCACACGACGTTTTGCGTAGAATGACTTTTGCAGATTTTCGAATGGCAGTATATGTTTCCGTATTATGTAATACTTACTATTCTGTTCAGAAGTTCTCTTGCATCTCCTGTCCAGCATCAGCCGATACATCAATCGCAAGAAATGGGTCGATTCGATATAAAATTGTTGCGCGTTGAATTTAATCGTGCCAATATGTATTCATGATTCTAGCCGTCTACGCTAAATATATACTGCTTGTAAACGTTGTAACTACTTCCTTCCGATCGTCCCATTTCTCGGTAAATTACTTTCCTTTCTTCCAGCGAAATGAAAGAGGAAAAAATAAAAGGGCTACAAAATTATTAGCTAACAACCGCTTTAATTTTACCTTTTTCTTGCAATTCAATTTGATTTTTTTTTAAACATGGCGTGACATTAACTGTTTTATAATTACAAATAAATGAAAATTACAGAGATTCGTTTTTAAACTTCAGGATTGTGAGTAGGTAATCAAACCATGTTCTTTTATACATTTTATGTTATTTTCTTGCACAAAATTCACGGAATTCTAATTCAAAATTTATTTACACAAAGATATTTAACGTCGTTTTTAATATTAACATTTGTTACTCCTGTGTTTATTTCTAGACATTTAATATTTTTTATTTTGAATCATTTGTGAAAGAATTAAATGGAAAGATGACAAAGTTCTACTCGAAGATGCCAAGAAATTTTCAGACTTGTTCATTTATTTTAAATATGTAGAATATGGAAAAAATATTTGCTTTTGTTACAATACTCTTTATCGCAAAAAATAAAATAACAATCGCAAATATTTGTTCCATACTTGTTTTATATATATATTGTATATGTAAATATAATAAATTTTTTTATTTCTTGAAATAAATAATAATAAGACTTTTAATGTGTGTGAGAACAATAATAATTAAAGATACGAAGAGCAAGTAAAAGTCAACGCGCTGAGGTTGATGCGTTACTAAATAAAATTTTGTATTGTAAAAATTTATATAAATTTATATTTTCGCGTTAACTCTCATTTATCCTTAATATCTTTATTTAATTCATGATTTCGTGATAAATTGTGAAACTAGTGCTTATTAGACCAATCCTTATTCGACGTTTAAACTTTTAAAGCTCATTTTATTTTTATACGCTGTCTTCATAGAATTTTATTATCAAGATCTTGCTAGTCGCGTTTTGTCGTCTCCAATAATAAGATAAATTATGTTCAGACATTTCAAAACAGGTATATATTTTAAGAACATAGCAACTAAGAGATTTCGTACACGAATAATAAAAATGAAAAATAAATAATAATCTTTCGGATTTTTCTTGATGAATAAATCTTGAAAATATAATGCGAACATCTGTTTGGAAAAAGAAGATATATATATGTATAATATCATATTTTGTCGTAGGCAAAGACGCCATTTATTATCTCGCTGACGCAGAAGTGGGGTTTCTCGCGTAGTTTTACATGTCACCCTCAGATTTTCGCGTGCAGCTGCGCCTGCCGCGCTAGAAAGTCGAAAATTTTACAAGTTTTTCTTCTCGTTTGTTCCGAACTTGCTCCGTCACATTTAAAGTGCTAACATATCAACAGTGATATATTTTCTTTACATGAATTACATGATTACATACGGAATATGTTTGCGTGTCCTACATCATCCACAAAAAAATAAACGGATTAAAAAGGAATTAATAGAAATTCAATCTACGATGTAGAATCTCTTCTAGAATTTTTAATGTCAAAGATTAAAAGTTTTTAGATATTCTTCCATTTTTCATGAAACAACAGTTTTTACATTCTTTCTAACAAAGAAAAAAATAAAGGAAAATAAAAGATGTTTTTTTTACAAAGTCCTGCAATCTCGAGGATTAATAATTGAAAACTTTACAAAATAAGTTTCTATTAATTTCTCTTAATTAATCAATTCTTTATAGATTTACGTCACACGTTTATATCGTATTCTTTATAGATTTACGTTACACATTTATGTCGTGTGTTTGTTGCGTAACATGCATATGATTGTGCGGGCGAGAAGTCGGCCGGAAATGGAAGTATGCGATTCGTGGACGATCCTGGAAGTATATCACTTCAGTTTTTCATTTCTCCAAATGAGGAGAGCCATTTTTTGACGTTTTGCTTAGCTTCACTTGCATTTAGGCCGATACCTACTTGTTTTCGCAGTCCCATTCAACAGCTGCGTTCAACAGAGAAAGCAGCTTTGCAACTGTTGTAAAATTCTTCACTATATATGATCGATTTATACATTTATATCTATAAGGAACCAAAAGCAAGAACTAATCGTATTGAAGAGTCTTACAACAGTTGCAAAGCTGCTTTCTGTGCTAAGAACGCAGCCTATCTCATCACTTTCATACTCATTCTCTCATACTCATTCTCTCTCGATGTTCTTTCTTCCGCAACTCTCTCGTTACATTCAACGTGGCAGCGAATTACATTGCAGTTTACTTGAATTGTCACTTCGATCTCATCAAAGAGCGAGTGGAATATAAATTACTCTTATATGCGAAGGGAGACGTTTTCTCTTTTGTGCTGAAATTGATGCCGTCGTACGTAACGAAAGAGCTAGTAGAACATTTCCTAGTGTATGTGTTACGTACATATCTGAGTCATCTTGGTCTGCAGTCCCTCGCCAACTACAGAAAAATAAAATGCTATCATATCGTTCGTTTTTTCCTTCGTTTTCATACATTTATAAATTCTCCAGTGCTCTTAAATTTTTATTTTATCAAGTACCACCGTTATATAGATATAGTATAATATACACTGTCTCCGATATACGTATATCTCGTGTGCTCTCTACAGATAACGTGTATCCGGGAAAGAATGCAGTTCTTTATTACTCCTAAAAAGACATCGCTCGCGCTTAGATCGTTGATTTGCAATGGAATAAACGATAATAAAATTATGCCATGTGTGTGAGTGTGTATGTTTGTGTACACAAAACGTCACTGATAATCAGACGTGGTAACGCGAGAACAGATAACTTCGTGCCTCTGCCAACATCTTTCTCGCCTGCTTTCTAAAAAGATTCTCTTCATCTTCTCAAATATCAGCGACGAAATTTTTAAGCTCGAAAATTTCATTTCAAATTGTATGTAGATCAGGTACGGTTTCGAGCTGTGGGTGACAATTCTTTATTATTGCTCGTATCAAAAAAAGTTTGGTTGCGAATGGGATAATGAATTCAGAATTCGGAAATTATTTCTCGCAGCTTCCGCGTCTGATCAGTGTGCGTCTTGAAAAAAGAAGTTTAGCCCTAAAATATAATGACGAATTTGATCGCTAGTACTATATTTAGTGCACATTAAAAGCTACTTTATATAATAGAAAGTGAATAATATAATAACGTTTTAATGTTGTCCACTTAAATTTTTGTGTTAATTTAACACAAGATAAATATGTTAGAGAATAACACAAACGTTATTTAAAAAAAAATTATATAAAAAATGTAACGTAATTTATACACAAACAATAAATCATGGAAGTATATTTTTTCTGTAAAGTTAACATTTATGATATGTTAAATTCATACGTATTTTGTTCATTTATCTTAAAATTTAAAATATATTTTTATTCTTTGTTCATTTACTCATAAATTGTGTCATTTTAGTAATAAGAAAAATGATGAATACTTTAATACAAAATATTTAAATAATATAATCACATTATATTAAATTAATACTTGGTGTATGTCAAAAATTTAACACATCTTAACAAGAACTTGAATAGACCAGTTTTAATATAAATACAATAAAAAAGTATTTTTTGTACAACATGTAAATACAAAATTTTTGTATATAGCAGCTTTTAGTATACATCAATCTAATGTAATGCAAATGACCAAATTCGCAAAGACTCACCACACACGAAATGAATTATTATCTCTACATTATTCAGATTCTTTTGAAACGGCCGCAACGTTCCATTTATATTATTACATTACACTTCTGTTAACGATATTATAATACATCCATGTTTTCCTCCCTATGAATCTATTGCTACTTACACGGCGACATCAAAATATCATTTCATTTGCGTTTTCAAACCTGTGTGTTTTCTAAATCTATTACTGGTTTTTTGTTTCAAGTATACCCTGTACGAGTTCAACGCACTCTCGCCGTTCGTAAAACACGTACGCACACCCCCGTGTGTGCATGCATGCGTACGTGCGTGCGAACGTGTGACAATGAATAGTCGGCGGCAGCTGTGTGCAAACTTCTCCCATCGGAATAATCAATGAAATGACGGATGATGGATGATGATATCGATATGGCGACGTGTGATGACACTTGCGGACAGTCACGAACAATTCCGCCCCTCTCTAATCCCTCCTCATCCTTTCTTCGCATGTTATTTATCTCTTTTGAGATACGGAGGATGCTAACATTTAAAGAGTTCTCTACAACAATACACATAAATACTTTCCGAACGTTCTTGAAAAAAAATCCGTTCGGTGTACAGAAACATCGTTTAATTTATGATTCGTGATTCATCAGTTTCCAGAAGCTATCAGGTTGGACGCTCGGTTTCCCCTAAACGTCTTGCCTGATACCTGCCGAGAAATATCGTAACGTGTTCTTTCCAAACAACTGGCTTTATATTCCCGGTGAAAAGTTATTTCTCGTTCAAGTTAGAGCCTTTGAAGTACATTACTGATAGATTATCGGGTGGGTAGGTTCAACAGGAAGATCGCTGTCGAGATCGAGATTGACGCCATCCTTGGAGACAAGGTAGTGCGTTAAGAGCTGACCCTTGCCCTTAACGAAGACGAGACCTCGTTGCTCAAAGCCGAAACCGAACGGCTCCAGTATCTTTCGTGTCTCGTTGGTGACCTGCAAATTATTTTTTTTATTTCAGGTAAGTTTATTATCTATAATAATTTACTTGTACTTAAAATAAGACTATCTAAATTTAATTTAAAAAATATATATAATTGTAATAGCTTATAAAGAAGACAAAAAAACTATACTGAGAAAAATTAATAAATTTTAATAAATAATTGTTTAAATAATATAAATGTAATATTTATTTGAGATAAGAAATATGTATTTGCTAAATAAAAAATAATAACAATTAAATCAAATTAATGGTTCTCTTGTACCAAACAAATAAAATAAATATATATATATAACTATTAATTAAATATATAATAAATATATATGTTTGTGTTTTTTTAGTAAATGTTCAATTGACACTATTTAAATAAATATTTATTAAAGTTTAGTACTTTCTTTTTTTAGTGAGAAAAATGTACTAAAATATTTAGAAGCGGTGTTGTTAATATAGCTTTCTGATCGATACCTGAATGCAGCCGACTTTCCCCGTGCTCTCCATCCTCGACGCGACATTGACGGTGTTGCCCCAAATATCATAATGAGGCTTTCGCGCCCCGATGACACCAGCAGTCACCGGTCCATGATTAATGCCCATTTTCAAAACAAAATGATTAAAACTTTGCTCGTTGATGCTCGACAGGGCTTTCTTGAGTTCCAGAGCGAAATCCACAAGAGTGACGAGGTGGTTCCACTGGAGACTATCCTCCGACTGCACCGATTGCACCTCGGATATTCCCGAAGCGGCCATGTAGGTCGATCCTATCGTCTTGATTTTGATGATACTCTTGAATTTTTCCTGATCGAGAATCTAACCATGTAGAATAAAATAAATTATACAGAAATATAAGAAAAGAAATATACAAAAAGGTATAAATTACTACAGCCGTCGAGAGCAGATTTTGAAAGATGTCTATTATAAATTTTTCTCAATAAAGTGTCAGCAGAAATACAACAGAATCTACTAATCATTATAGTAATTGTAAAAAATATAGATGGTTTATTTGTTAGGAATAAAATTTGATTTCGCCATATTATAACTAAAAATCAATTTCAGTGAAATATTTATTTCTCACAAATAAGTTTTTAAATATCTTTTTCTGAGTATATTTATATTAAACACACAAACAACATCAATTTATGTACGACTTTAATATGCACCAGTGTGTTATAATTGCATCCAATAAAATTTGCTCATATTACAGAATTTAGAGTCAGCTTTGAAAGATTAAATGTCATATTCCATTTATATATTTACGAAATGACAGATTATATTCTATCGACAATTTGCCATCGGATTATATCGACAGTCTCTGACAAAACATGAGTTTAATACGAATAACAGAGATAATGCCGGATCTGTTGTAATCTGAGCAATCTGCTGCCAATTTATCGTCATACTGCGGGTAGTTTGTTTACCGAGTATAATGGGGAAGCTTCGCGGAAATAAGATGAGCAATGAGAAACTTACGGCGTCAAAGTCGGAGATGACCTCATTCAGGAATCTAAGGCATTCGAGGCCTTGATTGTTGATGGTCTCCTCGCTGTAGAAGTCTGCGAAATTTGGCATACTGGCAAATAGCACGCCTACCTTAGCGTAGCTCTGGCTGTAAAGATCGTCGTGATGCCTTGCATGCGACAGGAAATACGTGGCTACGTGGGGTGGCAAGATATTGTATATTAATACTTCGTTTCTTCGTTTCATTTCCGTTGATCGTTCCCTCTGCGCGATTACCTCTCGTCCTCGCAGATATAGCATCCTTCGCGCCTTCTCGGACTGCACATAATATTTATATCTTTCAGTGCAATTTTGATCGCAATTAAACTTCTATAATTATATATTCCTACGTTAATTTTTACATGAACACATTGATTTATGTTTTAATTAATGTTACAAAATAGCTATATTCGTAATAGTAAAACCGTTCTTTTTTTTATAAACAAATTATATTTTTTTATTCGAACTTGTCTACAGAATTTTCTCGTGTTCTAAACTCACGCGCAAATTATATTTCTATGAAGGGAAAGGAAATGTTTCGTTAGGACGAAAATTCCGTGAAATTGCTTTCGCCTTTTTCTCAATTCGACAGATAGAGAATGCTGAATGAATAAAGCGTCATTTAACGCGTCGTAAAAAGCCCACTCAAAAATCGCTAATTACTCGAGATCCAATTTCTCGATTGAAGCCGCCATCATGGCTATCCGTAAATAGATTATATGTTTCTATTTTACCAAAATACCAATTACCAGATTATTTCGGGCAAATTACAAAAGCGCATTTGACTCATTTTCCACGAAGTGGAGTCCGCTTTTGCTTCAGTAATAAACCAAAATAATTTAATTCAGAATATTGAAAATAGAGTACGTAATTAAAAAAAAGCGTAACATATCAATTTGTACGAATAATAGTGTGAATTTACAATATCACACTTGATATCTGATTTAACGTGACACAGAATGCATCGTCGAGGCAATAGTTAGTGCGGTTTTATAGATCCATGAGAATTGATTGTTCTTTTATCGACATGCCGACCTTGAAGAAAGGAATTATTTTCACGAGTCGTTCCATTCTCGCGTGCTGCAACACACCGTAGATCGATCGGCATGTAAAGCGGCCAATGTATTTTCTCATTAAACCTTGCGACAATCGATCATTGTCAAAATCAACATTTTTACAATAACAAATTGCTAATAAAATGAAATAAGTTTCGACGATATTCATAACAATTAAAAATCTTTAAAAGTAAAAACAACAATTTTGTACTTACGTATCTCATCACGATGACTAGCGCGGTCGCGACAGTGAACAAGGTGCTCGACAGGAAATATTTCAGCGGATAGGGCAGGGATGCCTTATCATAGTACATCACTTCCTCCCACTCGAGGCCCGATGAAAAAACCATGTATATGCAGGATTGCAGGCTAGCGTAGCTGTACAACATGAACGTCTTGCTCAGGTAACAGAGATATGTCGGCATCGAAATAGTGATCATCGCAAGGACGCCGACGAATGAATAATAAGAAACATGCGAACATCGTGGGATCCATACTAGCGTGGTGTTTTTCTGCGGCACGTCCATGATCGAGCAGTTAAGCTACATAAAACAAATAATATAAAAATAATGTATAGTTAATATATTTGCCTACTTTAGAGAAGCTAGTAACAATTTAATTGTGGATGCATTCAGTGCGCACTTTGGTGCATATTGAAATCATCGTACACAAATTGACGTAAAAATATGTGCTTAACGAAAATATGAATAGATATTAAACTATGAAATCCTCTCAATACTGTTAAGTAAAATCTCTATTTTATACACTCAGAAGAAAATTGTTAACTAAATGCGTTTAGTTCGTAAGTGATTTAGTTCAAATATTTGGCTTAACAAAATCTTGTAACAAACATTTTACTAAACATTTTACTTGCTTAAATTAACAAATAATTGATTGAATTAACAAATATTTGCTTGATAGATCGCTACATTTAATTAAAATAACTAATATTTTTTTTAAACAATTTTTTTCAATATATTCGAAATGTTTGCATTTTACTTTTTACAAATTAAATCAGTGTATAATTAAGGCTTTAATATACACCATAGTATCTAACCGAAAAATCGCTGTAAATTGTTATCAAAAACTTAATGTTTTAATCAAAAACTTGTATCAAAAATTTAAGCGCTTTGAAATATTAAAAATATAAACGATAATATTCTAGCAAAAATAAAAATCAAAGAGTACAAATTAGAATAGGAAAAATAAAAGAAGTGTTTTAAGAAATAAACACTTCTCTTATGCTTCGCTGTTTTAATGTCTTATTACATGGAAAGGACAATTTTGCTAAATATACTATAATATTTCGACAAAAATAATTATTACGTTTTTTTCATGTAAAAGTTTTGTTTAAACTTTTATGTGACTTTTCCCTTATATTCAATTAATCTCCGATTTATTTTTACCAGAATAAATCTGTTTTAACTGTTGAAAATTATATAACAAGTGCTGTTCATTAAATTTTTGCTGAAAAATGATCTCTGAATTTTCGTAAAATATAAATCTAGGATTGATAAGAGATAAGCGAGTTAAGAAAAAAAGAGAAAATTCAATCGTGCGAGTGGTCACGTAGCAGCAACAAGTATTGATCGAAAACATCAGTTGTTCAATTCGTACCGTCTCTAACAGCACAAATGTTAAGAGGCCGACTGTTGTCAAGAACGTCACGAAAGCCTTGGTACACAATGCCTTGATCTTAGGGTTGCTCACACAGGTATCTATGGCTAGTATGATGATGGAAAACATTATTATTCCGAAGACAAACAATATGTGCTCATCCAAATAGCGCTCTTTCCATATCGGGGCTGCACATATCACAACCAGGGGCGAACCAAAGGCCAACAAGAGCGAAAAGGCCTCATCCTCTTCGACATTCTTCTGAAACGCCTCTTCCATATTCGAACTTTTGAATCGTAGTGTGAACCAATTGGTGTAAACTTTCAGGTCAATTTCACCACCTACGAGTGTTTGTACGCTGACGTTATACTAAGGTTGAGTCATTAATAAGCCGGATGTCCATTGTTTGACATCGGATTATTATTACACTGATGGACAATTATTTTGTTAATTTAGTAATTTTGGCTGATTCTTATGTATTTTCTGATGCTGATTCCGAAAATGGGGTTAGAATATATACTATATAGACTCCAATTTTTTGTAATCAACCAATATCTCTTTTGAAAAATTTATGCATTTTTCTAACAACATCTCGCACGTATATATGGAGTCTTTTTTATTAAGTAAATTAATTAAAATTAATTAAATATATATAATATTGTATTATAAATCTTTTATAACAAATAAAAAATCATGTTGAATTCAAAAGCTATTCCTTATCAATTATTTATTTATTTCTAAGCAAAAGAGAAATTCTATCAAATCGGGGGGTTTATCGTTACAAAAATAAAATTTTGTCTAGTTTCTGAACAAATTTTTGCTGAAGTCATGTTCTTTGTTTTCGTTCGCAAAATTGAAAAAAAATCTTTTAATGTATATAAGGATAAGAAATATTTCGCAAATGTAAAACGATTTGTCTCTGTCGATAGATATCGATTCGGTCTCTGTCGATAGATATCGAATGTATTTAAAAAATTTTTTATGAAGTTTAATTTTTTTAATGTATCTAAAAGAAAGATTATTTTCGTGATTTTATCGATATTTGTTATGTATTATAATTAAACGAGGGGGTAACCACTAAATGAAATACTGTCCCACACATCATATAATTTCATTTGTTTTCATATAATTTTGTCTGATTACAAATAATTTTCTTTACATATACGAAGTCTTTCGGTAAAATAAACAAAATTTCATCTAATATTAATATACACAATGATTTTTCGTGGTTACATATGTAATTATTGGATTATGTACATATGATTTTGTATGAATTTTATAATGAGGATTTTATTTCGAGGGTTTTGTCCTACAATTACATTAAGCGATTACCATCTCGTAATTGAATGTTAATTGTTAATCAACATATAAATGACGCACTCTTGCTTAAGCATTGATTATAATCAGTGCGTGCGTCAATAATTTGCAACACCCGATAAGAGTAACACTTTCAAACGCATGCGCGGATTTTTAAGCCGCTTATCCAGTCAAGATAAAACAACGATCCATCTCTTTTAATTTCGCCGAGTTTAACGTTTCCCAACTCCAACTTAAAATATATGACTTTTCATTTTTACCTCTACTGACAAGTTTCTTCCTCAGACGTTGCCGAAATTCCTCGGAATCCTCTCGAATATTCTCCACTTTGTCTTGCACATTCTCTATTACTTTTTGCGAGTTTTCCGCGTCCGCCAGTGACGCGAGGCTTTTCGTCACTGCTGGCTTAAATGGCTTCAAGGCTTTTACGATGAAGTAAGTGACGATGCCAGCTTTATGGAGTGCCTCTTCCCGGTCCTCCCCATGCGCCGGCTCGACCTCAAATTCCCCATTTAGAAAACTCAACGTCGAATTCGAGATGTGTACCCTCCTTAAAATATTTGTTTATTTAGGCATTCTCTCTCTTTTTATGCACTTTTTCAACGAATAAATACACGGAAAGAGTTTTTTTTCACTAAAGTATTTAAATATTTTGCTAGTTACAAATTTAAAAATAATTTAAAAATAATTTTGTTAAACCGCCAAAATAATTAATTAGGACGCTCAAGCTGGTTGCAAAAATTTTGTTAAAACTTTTTGCAACATTGCTCGTTATGCTTGAACATCCTACATAATAGTTTTGATACATTCTAATAACTACTTTGATACATTTTTATAATCATTTTGAAATATTCCAAAAAAAGACATAATAGTAGCAACTATTATATATACTATATATAATGTTAACGAGAGAGAGAGAGAGAGAGAGAGAGAGAGAGAGAGAGAGAGAGAGAGAGAAACTTTATAGTTGAATTAACTCTTTTAATTGCAATAGCTATGAAATATTTCACTCAATAAGAAATGCACTAAAAAAAATTTACTAAATATTATTACATATCTCTTTGAATAGAACTAATTTGCAAGTAAAAATGTATTTGCAATAAATAGATATTTACTTAATATAAAAATAATATAAAAATAATAGTTAAATCAAATTAATAGTTTTTTGTGTCAAATAAATGTATATTTATATCTAACAAATGTTTATTTAAAACTGTTAAAACAAATATTCATTAAAATTTCGGATAGAATAATATTTCTCGCCATATTAGTAATTGAAAAAAATTAAGATAAAACGAAACACACCTGGCATTAACCGAAGGATAAGCTCATTTCTATCTTTCAATCTGATTGTGATAAATTCCCTAATATAATGGATGTACTATACATATCTATAATAGTTTCCCAAATTGAACGGTCTTATAAGATGCTTTTCTTACCCTGCCCTACCGCTGCTCTCCATCTTATTCGCCAGCTCGACGTCCTTGCTGTAGACGTCGAACTGCCACTGCTTCTGTCCAAGAACCCCGGCGAGTACCGCACCTGTGTGAATGCCCACCCTCATGTCGACGGGGCTGTTCGTCGTTTGTTGAATATATTTAATCGCCTCCACCATGGACAGCCCCATATACACGCAGAGAACCGCGTGGTCTGGCCTTTCGATAGGTGCACCACTTATACAGTAATAACAGTCCCCTAAAATCTTGATGCGCATTTGCTCGTATCTGTGAATAATATTTTATACTATATACTTATATCGCATATGCTGATATTTATGTTCTAGTCCTATTCGATCGAAATCCTTTCTTTCTCTATATGTACGCGTGCATATGTGCGTGTACGTGTGCGTGTGTATTATGTATATAAAGATGGATACATATAAAATCTTCTTAATTATAAATAAAATATTATGCGACGACAAACAATGATCACGTAACTGCAAAGTATATTTGGTAGCGATGGAAAACCCTAGACCCCGAGGATATTGATTACCGGTGTCCTCGAAGGATCTCCGTCTGCGGCAGGATACGCGGAGTCAAAGTAGTCGAAGACAAAATCGACAAAATCGACAGGGAACACTGATAGAATCAATTTCCCCGTGGAGCCGATCATACAATTTTCATTATCTCCGGCGGAAATGGAATGCGCAAGTTACGGAATTCTACTACTTTTGCTATACCGTTTTACGATTAGCATTCGATAACACGCAAAGTCTTACTTAACACGCATATAACAGATGGAAACAAAAATAACTCGCTCTATCGCAGATGACAGATATTTAATTTCTTTTAAATGTTGAAATATTCTAAATTCACCAATAATCCCAATTAATTTAATTCTTCAAATAATTACAGTATTAATTATTAGTTGAATTGAGAAATTGTGTTTGAATTGGAAATTTACGATATCGATCTGCTAGAACTGCAATGTTTCTTTCTGCGTATAATTCTTCACTCATAAAATCGATAGAGCGAACGTAAAAACACGCAAATATAATGCGAAAAATGTAGCTGTTAAATGTACTAGTATTAAACATTCTTCTTAATAACTTAAATTTGTAGATATAATATATATAAATTATAGAAAATGTAATTATACATGTAAAAAACGATTTTACTGAAAAATCTAAAATTTCGCTGGATATATATCTGAAATAACTTTGTTAAAGCGTCACAATAATTTTATTTGGAAACTCAAACTCTGGTTGCTGTCAGAATATCAGTATTTTTGTGTAGCATTACTTATCACTTTTTCATTTCCAACATAATTATTTTGATGGTCCAACAAAATTATTTTCGAATTTGTATACAGTAAAATTTTAGATTTTAGACTTTTTCAAAATCTTCTTTACATATGTAAAAGAATGAGTTTAATAGAATATTTCAGAGTAATATAATTGAATAGATTTTCAACAGATCCACATCAGTTTTAAAGAGTTCAAGTAAAACCTTTAAAATATATACCGTTCGCTGAGCTGGTCGAATCGCGCGAAAAGCTCGTTGAGTATCTTGACCAGCTCGCTGGCGCTGTAGGTCGACGAGATCGCGGTGAAGCCGACTATATCAGCGTAGAGTATCGACACATTTTCGTGCCTAGACATATAGATCTTCTTGAACTGCGTAAAGTGACACGCACCGCCAAGGTCCTGCCGCATCTTGACCGCAATGTGTTCCGGCAGAACGCTCAGCAACAGTCGCTCTTGCTCCACGCTCTGCTGCTCGATCATCAGCTGAACCTCCAGACTCTGCCTGGTCTCCAGAAACGCACGACGCTGCTGGAATTCCGCCATGCGGTAGCCGCAGATACCCAAAATACAGGCGCCGGTGAATAACGTCATCGACAGGAGCTACAGGACGTTTTTTATGAAACCAACTTATTACGAGCATCTAGCACTGTGGGGGATTTAGTTGCGTCACTCTTGGCGCGAGAACTTATTACAGACTCTCCGTATAATTACAAATTGCTGCCTGCGTTGATAAATTAAAAGCTAAAAGATATTATTTTTATGGAAAAAATGTATATGTCTGAATCTAAATGACAGATTGTGAACAGTAATTGTCAATGAAGTTATAAAGCTTTGAAGTTTCACATGCAATATTTTCGGAGTGTTAGCACAATTTTTAGTATAAAATTTAATATAAAATTTAATATTATTTTTGTATAAAATATGTATTATACTATCTCTAGTAATAATATAAAAAATTAAACTAGACAATATTATATTTATTTTCAGAATTAAAAGGTAAAGAAAATTCGTTTTCCGCATAAAAACGTCTAAACATCAGATTGTAAAATAACAGCTGTATAGTTATACCGTACAGTTATAAAGCTTTGAAATTTGACTTAATTATACTTGAAGTTACAAAACTATTTTTATTTAATATAGTTTAGTGTTAGCATAATATTTAAAGTAAGAAAGAAATAATCAAAATAAGCGAGGCATTTCAGAATTGAATAGAAAATCTTTGTAATGCCAATATATTTGCACGGCATTTTCTTTTTGGTAACCAATGCAGTCGATATCTCAATCGCGAGGTCACTCTTCCGGATGATACTCCATGTTGGTGAACGATAGTCAGTTCATTCCCAGTGAAAAAGCATCGAGCGCGTCGCGTATCGAAAGGCAACCTTTCGCATCATTGCGCAGCACCGTTCTCACGCTCTTTTTGTCCCCCTCCCTCTCTCTCTCTCTCTCTCTTTCACTCTATTTCGTTCTCATTAGGTACCTGTATCTTCGTCACTCTCTATTTTAAACTACCATTGACCAAACTCTACTCGAGTGTTACTAACGACAGGTGCCACGTGCCGCGCGTCTACCTTCTATCTAGCTTTCGCTTTCACACAATATTTGCTGCCGAAAGTTTCGTACGCCTCGGCCGATGCATATGTACTGTTTACTATATCAGCTATGCTAAGCTATTGTAGATCGATGAAATGTAATTATCTATTAAGCTTCTCTGCGATTTACACGCGCATTTACCGATTTCTATTAATTGTTCAATTTCTTTTATGCTTCGAATATCGTTCTTTCGTTTTTTATTTTTTTTACGAAAAGTTGCAAGTAAATAAGAAGTAAAAAAAATCGATTGTATCATACGGTAATTTCAGCGGAATGAAACATTTCTCAAGTCTGAGAAACTCCAGCGCGTTTCATTTAATCCAATAATTGTACTATTCTCTGCGATAAAATGAATTGCAGATAAAATATTGAGAGAGTGTGAAAAAGAGAAAATAAAAGAGGGAAAATGTGATGATGCCATCGCTTCACGAATTTCTCAGCTCTATCTGAGATATCTTCTTTAGCAAACGCGTCGTGAACTTGAAACTACACGTAAACATGACCCTGTACGGTCAATAATATTGTTAGTATTAGCAAATATATATATACTGACAATATTATTAATCGTGTGTGGTTAATATTGATGGATTGATGTAGAATATCGACAGTAATCTGGACTTTGAATCTTGATTACTTTACCTGGATCCATATCACGATATGTCACAGTGCAATAGATATTAGGTATAAGTAAAACTAAAGTAAAATATATATTGTCAATACTGATCGGATAAGATCGTAAAAATACTAAAAATATTGATACATCACACTGTCAGTTTTATCGATTCAATATTGCTGATCAGTATTATTGAACGTGTAGGGTCACATCAAATGCATAATGCGCAACACACGGAAGCAACAAACAACAGTTCGGTTATCGTTCAATACTATGCTTCAAAACGAAGATATGTACGAATCCAACTTTTCTGGAGCTACATAGTAGAGCAAATACTATTATCGCTTTAACAATGATATTACATCGTGTATCGAGATCGATAAGACAAACCCATGATGAATATAGCAAGTCGTACATATCAATTTTCATAAAGACAGAAAATAATTAAATTTATAACGCATTAAAGGATATTATCCGTTAAATTAATGAATCTAATAAATTACAGTAAGGATAATTGTTGGAGAATTCTTTAACAACAACGTAGAAAATTTTAATAGGTATTCTCAATGAACAAAGTCAGCTTTAATTCAACGACTAACTTTTTCTGTGTTGATTACGGCTTTCGTAAGTGTAATTTCTAATTATTTATCTTGTTTGTTCAAAATAACTTTTATTTATGTAATAATTATTTATTACAATTTATTAATAATCATTACAATAAATTGTATTACCTTTATTACAGTAATTATATATATAGTAATAATTATAATAAATTGTATAGAGCATTTTATTGTAACAATTATGTTATAATAATTATTAAAATATAATTACTACATTCATATAATAACAAATACTTTTGTAATAATAAAAATTTGTGATAGCAATAATAATAGTAATTAACAAAATTTGCTATTATAATATCTAATTACAAACAACAATTAATGTATTATATATAATAATTATTACAAAGAAAGCTATTTTAAACGAACAAGTTAAATTATCATGAATTATTTATTAAACAACTACAGAAACAAAAGTTAATGGAGAAGAAGTGAGTTGTAATATCTTTGATCTCCGGTGTGACATATCGATATGCGATAAATGTAGCGTAACTCGTATCGATCACGGTGAATTAATTTTTAACAGTGCTTTAACATGCTAAGGTCAAGAATTACTATCAAAAATAATATAATTTGTGCAGTTAATAGTGTTGTTAAATACGTCGCTAGCTAGCCCACACATTTCACAATACCTCCATTTTAACAGAAGGACATTTTATTGTACTAATATACGTTGAATTCATTTAACAACACAATTCTCAATAAGGCATACTCATTACGATCGAACCGTATAATATCGATTTTTTACCGATTCTTAATTCTTTGCGAGAGACAATGCCAGCATATCCTTTAATGCATTATAAGTAAAATACTTAATTTTTTTTTCTTCGCAACCGTGTGTGCTGCGTATTCATAAAAGCGGCGGAGATACGCTTTGTTAAACTTGGATCGATTATTGGTGCACGCGTCGCCGGTCTACGGTTGACAGTGAATTAGTTTGTCGAAGTCGACGTCGACGACATCGTTGTTTTCATCCACCGTGTGGATCGGAAAGCTTGGAAAGCGTCTCACCCCTTTGCTTGCAATTAACACGCGCCAGCGTCACTTTTATTCGTTTATTTATTCATATTCTTTTGTGTCACGCGCAATTGTGCTCGCGTCACTTCGAAACGATCTCAACAGGACAGGTACTCTTTATACAGGACATTTCTGTCTTTTTTCCCCCAGTCTTTTTGCTCTAGGGAAAACCATAGACGCTATGATATTCTCTAAGCTCATTATCGCCGTTATCGCCGTTTTTAGGCACGATCGAAGGGACTGACTTATTAAAAATAGAACACGGTGTATATGAGTATTCGAGTTATTTTTAATAACTTTATAAAGGGGTGCTATAAATGGAAAGAGGTCACGTGGTGGATTACGCGAGCTTTCGCAGGGCTAGCTTTCGCATAGATCAAAAACAAATGTTTTCACGCGAGTTAAAGAAATCTATCAACGCTCGAGATCTAGCCTCGTCGTTCTGCAACTCCTTCTCGTGAGTGGGCGCGAACTTTGAATTCCAACCCTCTCTCGAGAACCCACCACCGATTTAGATTTGATTGATCCACGACGAGATACGCATCGCTGTTACTTACCAGAATGTCGGAGAACTGTAATATATAATCATCCGGCCTCATGTTGGAGAAAGCAATCAAGTTGAGTGTGTATATCGCAATGCTGCTCATCGCTAGGTTAAAGCAAAAAATCAACTTGAGCGGCAGGGTGGCGAACAGTAGGTACAGCAGCAGCACCATCCACGCCAAGCTGTCTATCGGCGTGATCTCGGCGGTCTTGAGAAGCAGCAGAAGGGGCAAGTGCACGAGCCATATCATTCCGACTGTGCCCGGCACCGTCGACCAGAACAAGTTACGCGTTTTGGTATCGCTCTCAGTCCAGGCTACCAAGAATAAGTTGAAACAGAGAAACAAGGCGTTGACGAAACGTGCTGGCCACTGGAACCCCGGCATCGCGAACATGTAGAGGCCGTACAGCAACGCCGACGCTAGGAAACACGTGAAGCCTCCGCGACGCTGTTGCAACGACGACGCGTGATACAGCTTCTCGAGGCCGGCGTTGCTGAAGCTCGTCTTCAGCAGGTTCAACGGCTTGCCACGACTCAAATAAGAATCCTCGTTGGTCGGGGCCTGCTGCTGCGACATGGCGCCGGTTTAACGGTCGTCGTCGTCCTTAGCTGAGCGAGTGTACCACGGCACTGTCACATTACTTCTCTCGTTACACTTTACCGCATCACCACGTTCATCTCTACAGGAACGATCGATCGATTACAGCTACTTATACTCTTCCTCCTCCTTGTGGATACACATAGAACCTCCGTGCTTTCCGGGATGACGCATTCCTCCGTAAACACGCTCACACCCGGATAAAATCCCAGATGATATTCCCCTCGCCGCGAAAAGAAAGTTGATAGGGGCGAGCGTAGTCTCGTCTTGACTCGCTACTCCAAGTCTGAACGGAACACGATCAGGGTCCAGAATTCCCCGGATCCTGGAAAAGCTTGCTGACGCAGCTGTTATCCAAAAAATAACGTGGCACACGTACACTCGGACCAAGCACTACTTTCGCACCACTCACGCAACGTATACGTACACATGCGCACAAAAATGAACTTGGCTCGAGCCTTCTCTCTCGGGGATACGACGCCGCCAACGCCTAGTACCTACATATGGAGTACACTAGCCAGCTGGATTGCTACTACCAGCACGGGTTCTTACTACCTCTTCTGCACGACCTACCTACCTCCACGACCGGGTGTACGTATATATATATATCGATATTCTTCCACTCTCGTCGCTACCCTCCGTGGTCTCTCCATCTATTTATCTCTGTCTATTTCGCCACCCTACGCCGCTTTCCTTCTCGCACCTCGCTTCCGTCCACGTCCAGGCGTGCGCCTTGCGATCCTGACTGCTCTCTACATGACCCTCCGACCGACCCGGGTCGATATCAACCACCACAAACCCCAGCAGTTGACGCCCGGCCGTACCTGCGTCTCCTTTACAGTCCTACCTATGTATCCACCGACCTGACTACACCTCCGCATGCGCGGCCTCACTTTCCTGATTTCATCTCGAGTTCATCCCGGAGCAGCCGAGTTCTTATTTTAGGCGAACACAATTGGCTCGCAAATCCTTTGGGCATTATGAGCTTCATAACTCCTTCCTTAGTTCGAAGAATCACGACTAATCAAATCGCGAATAATTAAAACTACGTGATTGACGAGTATTACGATTTTATAACAAAAAAACAGAACAATAAAATAATTGATACTAAATTGAGTCAAAATTATAACTAAAAATATTTACATATTGATTTTAATTATGCGAAATGTATCAATAGTCAAATGTATTTTTTCGACCAAAGAAGATAAATTAAAAATAAAGTTATTTGAGAGTATCAAGAACAAAAAAATCAAGAAAAAAAACACAAGAATAAAAAAATTTTAATGGTGGAATTGGTATGACTAACAAAATTTTTTAAAAATAATTTGATAATCTTAAAAATCTTGGTTTTAGAGAGTTTTCAATTGCGAAATATAACATCAAATTTCCAATTTCATTTTATTTGAAACTCATCGATGTAGCCGATTCGTGAAGCAAACAGTATATCACTTTCCAAACTGACTTTCAAAGTCTGATTATCAGCTCTCTGATACTAGATCCTCGCTCATAGAATTACTACATTTTTGAAATTCGATATTTTCAAGCTATACATTTAAACTCAAAGATACCAATAACCAATAATCTTCTAAAATCAAATTTCATGATAATATTATACAAAGATTAATAATAAGATTATAATAAGATTATTAATATTTAAGATTTTGATTTTATATATTGAATTTATCAATATATTATATTATGCATGATATCATACTCGCCTTGTATTGTCCTGTATTGTTTCTAATTTAAATTTTAATTCTCTGAACTTTCAGATATTTCATTTAATTTTAAATTTTAAATTTTTGAGACCAAATCGAATTCAGCGAAAGCCTTTAAAAAACAAGATTTTCCATAAGTTACTTTGATAAAAAGTCCCGGTCTTCAAAGGGTTAAAAGCGTTTTATTTTGCGTAACATGTTCGAGAATACCTTGCTAATCAATTGTTTTGCAAGAGATTCTCTTATCAATTTATGTATATCTTCGTTGATTTAATCTTCAACCGCGCAAATATATACATTTATTATATATTTATTTATATATTTTTGTAACCTAGTTAACTATTTGAAATCAAACGTAACTAAATAAATGATTATTTGAAAAATCATTCGATTAACTGTTGTGACGTTCAACGGACCGCTCTATAAAGCTTAGTTATTCACATTCTTAATATAACTTATTTTTCAATTGTGCTCATCGTTCTTGTGGCATCTCCATTTAATTTTTTGTATATATAACAGCTCGTTTACTACCGGAATGAATTGCGTTCGCTATCCTTATTTTTTGGATCACGTACCGTTGGAGGAATCATTTTTATCTGTTTTTACTGAAAATGTCAATAATCCGATTAACTTCTCGAGTCACGGTTCGTGGATTTTCTTTGCATTCGCCGTGATTTCACTATGAGAGGAAAGAAATCCGATGCGCGTATGAATCGTAGTCTCAATTAACCGGTGATGAAAGTATGCTTCACAACGTGGATCAAAAATCACAAATAGGATGGACCGTTTCCCGATATTAATCGATTGCAGGATTGTTGATAAATCGCGGAAAAAGGAAATTAACTCAAGTTGATGGGAGTGACTCGGCGAAGAGTCAAAATAGCATTAGGTTCATTAGGTGGAAGCACGCGGAGAAACAGAGTAATTCTTATCGTGGAGCATTACGCTGTTAAGTGCGATAAAACATGATAACTGCAATCGCGACGTGTATGCGAAATATCTGAGTAATTTGATACAGGTATGATTACTTGTTTATTTGTGATCGTAGCAAAACTTTTATTTAAGTCTTATGAACGTTGAATACACAATCACAAGTACAATATGTCTTGGATATAAATAACATAAAATGTGTTTAACGTATTTAACCTTAGAATGCTATCGTTCGTAAATTTTACATGCAAGTGAACGAGATCATTGACCGCTAAAGCTATGCCTTTAATGGTCAGCAGAGAGTCCAATCTGCTATAAAAGCAGGGACAAGTTTTAAAAGATTCAGTTCGTTGTATATCACTTGGGACTCCCTGGTGGTCAGTAACAAAGAGTGTAATAAGTGTTATTCATTTTTAAACAGTCTTGTATTATATATTTTATTAGTAAATGTTATGAGGTCACATTGGACTATAATACAGTCGTATCATTGAAGATTGAATTGGATATAATAAACTTATTAAAAATTTAGCTAGATACGTATCTGCAATTTTATTGGATCATTAAAAAAGTTCTATAAAAAACCTAAACATGATGAGTAACACTGTAAAAATATTGATATTTAAGATTTATATTGTAATTATTTCTAAATTCTAGATTATAAACATTTTTTGTCATAAAATTGTAAATAATGTATAAAAATTTTGTGTTAATTAAAAGTAGTCTATTTTCTCGTATGCAAAATTTACATATTAAAGCAGTGCTGTATTATTCAATTAATAGCGTTCTAAGGTTAAGATTGATTTAAAATTAACATAAAACAAACTATGTAAAACATATTCAAAACGTACATGCTTAATCGAAAGATCAAAGAATACAATAACAAGAGACTAAATGGCATTACCTGATAATTACGTGCAAACTAATTGCTGAGTAGTATAAAAAATATCATGCAAGTTTTAAAATTTTCCTGAAGCTCCCCTCTCTCAGAATTCGACTTTACTCATGAGAAGGAGTCGCGAATCTCGTCCGTAACAACGTATCCCATTTTATTCATCTCCTCGACGATTTTCGGATCTTCGATTATGGATTGAATCCATTTATAGTAGGGCAGCTCTTTCCTCACGCCCCCGTATACCTTCGGCAGGTATTGGGGCAAGATGTGTTTGTGCAGACTCTCGTAATTATTACCGTGGAAAAACAGCTTGTTTCGCATGTTGGCATCGAGCAACGGTTTGAAGACCGCGAAGATCGCGTCGAAGACCCACGACTGATTAAGGATGTGCAGTGCGTGAATTCTAATGGGGAACGCAGTTACCATCACAGACAACATCATGCTTGCCACCTAAAAGAAAGATTCATCTTCATATCTTATATCGACATTTATTATTACATTAGCGCTCCTTTGCCATCTTTAATGTCGTACAATTATATTTGTACAAGCAATCTACAAATAATATACAAACCCTACGTAATGAAAACCTTGATAAACATTTTTTTTTAATCTTTTATTATTTTACAAAATTTTGAGCTTAAGCGGAACACTGAATTACGATAATGTCACAATAATGTTAAAGTAAATCATAAATGATTGAAAATTTTAGAATCGCTGAAAAAGTTTACATCTTTTCTAGAATTTTTTATGTATAAATTGTGAAATATATATTTTAAAATTTCTATTTCTTATATTATAATTTTTGAAAGAAACTTTTATGAATTCTGATAAAGTTTACTTTTTCGAATAATTTTACCAACTTAAAATATAAAAAATATAAAAAATTCTTAAAAATATAAGACATTATAAAAACTGTTTTCACTGAGGAAAAAGAAAATATTAACAAGGCATCAGATATACCTGAGGCGTCACGGACCATGCATGTGTCATGGAGATATCCTTTAAATCGAAAATAGCGATACCACCCATGATTTGTTGTCTGGGTTCAAGCATGCCGATTTCGAGGATTCCAACTGTGGCCTTGAACAGCATCTCAGCAGGATATTTACGCGGATCCCAATTGCCAAAACGATAGATCATTAAACGTCTACCGCATTGAGTTCTATACGGTGGTACCGTGATTACGTCATCTTCACCTATGTACCTCATCTCGGTCGAGTTCAACTGCTGATGGATCTCCGGATGTTCCTCTTTGAAGTTGTAGTAATTCACTATCTATCGAAAGATTTCTTGAGAGAAATAGGTTTCGACACTCTGTCATTCACGAGCAAAAGCATTATAAAATAATGGTCACGCACACGCTGGACATTTCATTCCGTTCATTATCACAGTTTAATATGAGATATTATTATGAATTCTTGATTGTTAGGTTGATATAGACTATCATCATTAGTCAATTATTCATCGGCTGTTCTCGTTAATCGCATTTATGAATAGCCCGTTTGTTTCCTTATGCATATGCAGATAAGAGAATTAGCGATTGAGTCGTCTCAAAGTTAGTTCGGACGGGGAATTATTTTAAATCTTATCAATCTTTATTTCACTTTTTCATTAAAATATTGAAATTATACCGTGGTCATTGAAATAATTACTAAAAGTGAATTAATAATTGCTCTGTGTTTCAAAAAACCAAATTCTTACTTTCACTAATTCTAATTTTCATAGAATATACGAGCGCGATAGGTATTTCTTGAAAGGTCTTGAAAGATCTTGAAAGGTAGATCAGTTCACCCTGACATAATTGTGCAACTAGAAGTTTCGCTTCGTGTTCGCGCTTTATCCATCGATGTATTTTCACTATTAATTGCTAATAAAGATCATAAATGCTCGTTATTTCAACATTCCTAATGACATTTCATAAACAACAGCACCCAAAATTACATTTTTATATTGCAAACAAAAATATTTTGAAACAACAATCAACAATTATTATCAATAATTGATATTACCAATAATCATTATTATTATCAATATTACTTATAATCACATTTTTTAAAAAAAATTTACAATTTTGCGGAAAATAATTTTGAACTAAATTACACGGAGCAAAAATAATATAAAATAATGAAAATTAATATAATCGTAAATGGAAGAGAGAAGAAGACAGCTTATGTTGCGATTAAATCAATTTAGATTATTTATTTTTGATAAGATTAATGACAGAAGAAAATAAATGTGAGATTATTGTTTCTATTAGATTGAATTGATTAACTTACGTTAAACAAATTACGCATAATAAACCTTTCTTATTACATTTTTCTGAATATCCAATTTCACTAATAATCCTAAATGACGCAATTTTATAAACGAGACAAAAATTACTGATTATATAGGATTGAGTTTCTCAAGACATTAAAAATAATAAATATCTACCTACATAATTATTTACGGATCATTTAATATTTGACTTGTTATATTTATGTTCCTACTAAATGTATAAATTAGATATACATATACATATATAATACTTAATTGTAAAGCAAGCAAGGTCCATTACAAAAACTAGCGTCAAGTATTTCGAAGGTCGAACTGCATTAATTATTGAAAAATGCATGACTCGACCTAATTAACCTAGCATGTTAAGTATTATTTGTTAACTTATCATTTTATATCTCTCAAATTATTTTTCTAATTCTGTAAACAAGATCATTTAAATACATATTATTAGGAAATATTTAGAAATACAAAATATAAATAACTTAAAAAAAATTTTTTTTTCTGTTTAAATAAATTATGCAAACGTTTTACATAAATTAATTTATTTTTGAAAATAATTTTTAAAAAGCTTTATTATTACTTTTCTTCTCCAATGTCGATTGGTTCTCCAGATATGTTTATACATTTCACAATGTTGCAATTCAACATTTCTGAGATGTAGATTAGAGCAAATAATATTATTTGTAATGGTATTTTCGATAATTTATTATTGAAATCTCCATATATCTGTGCTAAAGTTAATTTATAATAATGTTGTATAGTATATAACATTAAGTACCATACATTTAATTATTTAATTAAACTTCGCTCATTTTTTGCAATGCAAAGTATAAAGAAATTCGGTTAAAAATTGTACAGTAATAAGAAAGTTTTTTATAAAATAAATTTCAAGTTTACAATATTAGTAAAACATAAAAATAAAAATATATAAAGAATATAATATTTAAAAAAATAATATAAATAATATAATAATATAATCGAACGTTTCGGAACTCGCGGGTCCTTCCTCAGCGATTCTTAAAGATATGTCTACAAAGTCATAGAGATGATAATCTTACGGTTTAAGCGACATAGTGTAGTGGTACAAATTGTTTCGAATACATTGTTTCTCCTGTTTTTTGTGAGTGCGGAAATTGTGTAATAAAATGTGTGAAAACAGGAATATCTTTACGTATTCATCTGATTCTGTTAGGCGCAAAAGTGTTACAAATTTGAGTTCCGAAATGTTCGATATCATTATATTATTTTTTTTATATTATATTCTTCATATATTTTTTTTTTATACTGTACTAACATTGTAAACTTGAAATTTATTTTATAAAAACATCTCATTACTGCTCGATTTAAACAAAATTTCTTTATACTTTGCATTTAATTATTTGTTATTGAGTGTAATTGTGTTAACATTGTAGTAATGATTTTTTTGCTTATTAATGGGTTATTAATTAAAAACAGAGCTTCTACTGCTACATGATATTTTGAATAATAGTAATTTCTTTAATAAAATAATTGAAATGTATGTAGAAATGGAGTACTGACTCATATAAGGCAAGCTTGACTTGTTATTGCGCGTATAAATTTTCAATTACAATTTAACTTCGACAAAACATTTTCAATTTAATATTTTTGTATTAAAGCAAGCTATTATATATTCAAAATAGATTATATTTATTTTTCTGTAATAGAGAATTTGACTACAACCATTACAAAATAACTTTAGGAGATATAATATTTATCAGGACATATCTACGATCTGTTTTCTTATTTCTATGTATTACGTCATGAATTTGACATGAATTTATCGTAAACTTATACCGCATGTAAAAATTTATACCACTATCAAGACAAACTGGCTACAAAATAACACGTTCGTGTTACACTTATTATAAAAAATCAAAACAAGATCGATTCTAGGATATAGAGAAAAGTTACCCATATCATATCCATACAATTTAATTATAATAATTAGTTATTTAAAAAAATCGATTGCTAAAATTATGAAAATTATTCCAACAAACCACGGTCTCCCCTACTCTTATTTACGTAACTAGTTTTACATTTTATATCTATGCATAATCCGATATAATTTTACGCATAATTAAATTCATCAAGATTCTTCTTTAATTTTCTATATGAATAACTTGAATCAGCTGATGAATAATGTCATATAATCAGAATTGAATAAATACATCGTAAAATTGTTGATCTAGAAGTAATAAATTTAATTCATTACTTTACAATCATTGTAACTTCTTATTACAAATTGTTAATAAAATTTCGCTCGACACATGCTATTGTGGAAAATGTATGAAAATGATAAGTGTATATAGATACACTTATCCGTAATAGTATTAATAATAAACTTAGTAGCAATATAATAAGTCTACAATATCTTCCGAGGAATTGAATACAGATTGAAGATATCGCAGACTTACTATTGTTAACAAATGCTAATAAATATTTATTTTCATATCTTTTCCAGTCACAGTATATATATAGAACCAAATATCGTTAATTATTTTGTAGTTACAGTATTTTTTCTTTTTCTCGTAACTGACATTCTATTTTTGCACATGATAATCTCTTATCGTCTATTTTACGTGACAAAAAGCACATTGACGCGCGAGCATACTTTTAATAATAAAAGCATACGCCTCTTTCATCGATTTTAACTGTCCGCCTATTGCAAATGTCATTGTCAATGTCTATACATCTATAACTCACCAGCTTATGCGCACTCTTTATGTTAAAGTTTCTCGCGCGAAGAAATCTAATGAGAAAAGCGTCGTCCATCCTGTGTGGTAAACATTCCCCTCTCTCTGCGGAAGAATGCATAAACAATCTTAACACCAAATAATGTAAGTATGATAATATTTTTCCTCGCGAAATTTTATAAATTCTACAAATTGTTGTCATGTTTTAAATAGATTAACTAGATGTTAATTCGAGAAATTTTCTGAGAAATATTTTAATCATGTATATTTACAAGAAATATGTACTTTTATGTGTGGAAACATATAATTACTAATTATATCTTCTTTAAATTCTTTAAATTTTTAGACTAAACGAGAGAAATAGCTTGCTTCCGTATTTACGACAATAAGAATAAGTACATGTATGAAAACATTATTGCCAACATTTTTTAGATTCTTTAATTTTTTTTAATTTTTCTCAAAAAAAAAAAAAGAAATATTTTGAGCCTATATTTACGAAAATAACAGTAGAAATTAAATATATATATTTACAAAAACACCAACATTATATTGCTAATATCAAGATGTCACAAACAACTATTGATAATCAAATCTAAATTTCGCAATTATATTCATTACAAGAAAAGTGCCGTAAGATTCTCCGCGGTTGTGTGTTTGTGCGTAAATAATATAATTTATTCATACATATATAAAACGAAAGGAAGAAATTTACAAACAATTACGACGTATATTAAGAACGTATATAATGTAGACGATTTTGTATACGTTCTTATTATATCGTAAATATTTAAAAATTGCATTTTTGGCCATGTATATACGAATATATTATTTATGCACTAACAATCGCGTAGGCTCTTATATAAGTACTTTTCTTTGTATTGGATTTATTCTTGGAGCCACAAACTATTTGTGTTGTTTTAATTAATTTGCAATTATATATTTTACTCTCAGTCAGTTCACACTGCCGATTTTACAGCATCGACACTTTGTTCACTATCGTTTCAAACTAACATAATTCGAATTACCATAGATCATATCGCGGAACTCCTGCAGCGTCTGACACTTGACCTCCTCGGTTTCTCCTAATTCTCTTCTAGAGTATTCCATGACTTCCGGCGGTGGTTCGCTCAAATCCAGAGTGATTTGCTCGTCGTCAAATTCGTCATAGTTCTCGAGCTCCGGCATATTGTCAGCACCTTTGCAAGATTCTAGATTTTCCTGTTCCTTAACATCGGTTGTCTGCTTGCCGACGGTTTTCGGATCCTCCGAGCCACTTCCGGTTGAAAACTCGCGGTCTTTCGCTGGAGTCCTCGACTCGATACAGTTGCTGCTCTTCTCGTTTTCCTGCGGCATGATATCACCCAGCAGATAGATCGATGATCTATTTCATTTAATATCTACGAAATTCCCGAATCGTAACTCGTTCGCGGAAAAGCGAAATCATGCGATCATTCAGTCGTGGATCGCGCTGTCGCTCGCACAACTATATTGGCCGACCGCCTGTCTCCAGCTTTACCAGATAACCTCCTTCTACCGATATTCTTGAACAAGTACATCTATATGGGGGATAGATAAACGTATACGTGTACGTATTTATGTGTGTGCGTGCAAGTGTTTGCGTTGCGTGCGGGCGGTGCGGGTTGCCTATGGGCAACCGGTGCATGTACAGCAGAAGGCAAACAATGATCCCGCCGGATCTCTCAATACTGACTCAACGCTGACTCAAACTTTTATTCTTGCGGCTAATATTGACCGTGGGACGTGTCCTTGAATGACGATGATATTTAAATGCCACGCAATTACGCAGCGCGAACGTAGCTTGAGTCTCTCAAACTTGAAGCGCAAGATTGACTAGATCTAATTTGCAACTTAGTGTGATTTACCTTACTCATCAACCTTGCGAGCAAAACAAGGTAGCAAAAAAAGTTCCTTTCTATATCAATGTATGCTATATTATATGTATAATATGTTTTATATAAATAACAAAATTAATATAAAACGATCGATCGTATATAGACATTGAAGATCAAAATTGCACTTTTTCCAAAAGAACATTTTATTCTGTTTATTTTCTAAACATTTTATTAATATATTACATTAAAGATATCGTTACATCGTTACAGTAAATTATTGTATGATAAAATATTTCAATGTCTGCAATGTTTCTCGGATCTTCATTAGTCATTCTTGAAAATATAAATTAATTAATACAAAGCGTCACTTTAAAATATCTGCTTTGTGGTCTCGTGAATGTTTTGGAGTGTATCATAGAAGGTTGTCTTTTTCCTGTGTTGCAATACGCGCGTCGAACATGATAGCTGTGTGTTTTCGCGTTTCGTTGTGCTGTGTGCGACACAGCTACGCCTCCTTCAGTCTCTACGAAGCCAATATCCGGTTGGCGGTATTCTACTCTTACAGCAATGTCTACTTGCCGCTATTTCAATACTGGTCATTTTCTCGGAATCGCGTACCAAACGTACGCGTATAATTAAATCTATATATCTATATTAATTCTGTAGAATACGTCTTTCGCAGTTAATATCTGTCATTCCTGCATATAGCACAGATTACATCCTTTCTTTTTTTTCGTTAATAAAAAACCAACAACCGAGTTACGTAACGAGTCTGAATCTACCGTCTGCTTGTCTAATTGTAAGACGGACTGACAACACGTTACATCAGCGTCACGGTATTGTTCCTTTTCCTCGCTAGACAGCTATTTCTGTTTTCTTAGACAACACTTATTTTCTTGCACGTTTAAAAAGAGTTCTCTACGACCGGAGGCGACATCGCGCACGTATAATTAGAGAAATATAGCACGCATATAAAATATAATTTAATGCATGGACGGTCGATTGAACGTTGCGTTAAAATGCATAGAGAAGAATGACAAGTCGACGACGAACATTAATGAAAAACGGACACGATATACGCAGGTGTGTCTTTCGCCTTGCAGCTAGAACACAGCACTGAAAGATGCAGCTGTAGTTTCCCGCGAATGTGGCGCGATACTGTTCGCTCTGCTACCGGTGCCGATCGCAGCGATGATATAACTGGCGCACGTTTCTTTATACTCTGACACATGGCCTCGGGTGGTACAATTTTTGCCGCGCGTCCCGCCGTCGAAAAGCCACAGCGCGCGTTGAATGACTATTAGTACATCTTTGCGTGTCCGAGGCTGTCAGTGAACATACCGCAATACGAGGTCGTTTTACGCTGTTACGGTCGAGATACGAGATTATCACTACCAGCAATCCTGGGTAATTAGTGGTTTTTTAATTAGCAAAAATCTGTTAAGCTAGCTTTCTTTCTAACTTCCTTCCGACAATTCTTATTTAACGTTTCTCGCGTAACACTTTTAATTATCCTATATAATCGTCTTTTATTTCAATTCTACGTGAACAATCATTTTTTATTGTCTAATATATGTGATGTTGATAGAACATGAATAATTACTTAGCTAATTGCAATTAATGTCATATCTGTTTTTAAATTTTTTAAATGATAATTAACAAGGATATTTTATTTCTTATTTTTTAGCCTTCTACTTTATTGTATATCACCATAATATAATATATAGTCATATAATTATGTAATATATAATTAAGTATACTTGGCTAATTGTAATGATCAACTATTTATTTTTGAACAAAAGTATATTTTAATAAGAATTAAATTTTTATAGCGTGTATATAAATTTTTATTATTAATCTTAATATTTTGATATCATATTTTCCATTTTTCCTTGAAAGGTTTTTATTCTACATGAATAATTCATCGTTGATTATCTAACAGATCTTTTTATAACTTTTTATAAATGATATTAGACCGACATGTGAATACACACAGCTAAGGAAAATGCTTTATTTGGTCTGAGCTCTAGATTTTACTGCTTAATAATATTTTAATATGAATTTATTTACATTTCCAGTTCTGTAAACTACACGTCAAAATAATTTTCTGTCTTGACACGTAGTTTCTTAAACTAGAATATTAATATCATGAATTAATTAACAAATAATTTAATAATGCTGATGCTAATAAGCATTATTAAAACACTGTGAATAATCATGAATCATTGCAAAATAACAAATATTTTCCTAACATATACTAGTTATTACATAATGAATATCACTATAGTGAATTTTAGTGATTGAATTGGTAAAAACACTTATCACGAAAGAGTAGATCCAGCTTTAAACCAGTTCAATCTAGCCAAGATAATATTTTTTATAATGAATTACTTACAGTGTTTTAAAATATTTATTAGTATCAATACCATTAGAGTTCGGTACACCTGTGAAAAAGCTAATGTTACATCGTAATCTTAATTTAAAATTGCCTCTGATTTCTCTCAATATAAGTTTGATATAATAATTATTATTAGATGGCTTAACAATTTAAATGACATTGTTATTCTAATTTCAATTTAAGATTGTGGTTTCAGAAAAACTTATTTCAGCGCGCAGTTTATAAAATTGGATATGTATTATTTATATATAAATGCACATCAAAGTACATATAATTAAGTATGGAAATCTACATAGCTCAGATCATAAGGCATTTTCCTTTCTTAAATTAATTTATGCAGTTTTATCTTGTCTAATATACTTAAATTTGTGATGTCGAGAATTATACTCAATTTGAGTTATTCTTTAATCACTTCTATAAATCATCACTGCTTCTATTATATTTAATATGTCCTTAATTTATTATTACAGTGGAATTAATCCATTTAACTCAAGAAAATGTATGTTTTTGATTTAAATTTAGTTTATTATTATCTACTAAGTGCATACGTTAATAGTGTTAATACGGACGTTGTTTATTTTAAAACTAACCACAGAAATGGATTGATTTACATTTTGACATACATAAAAGTCAAAAATAATAAAAATTAATAAAATGTTATTTAATACAAGAGATTGGATTACCATTGCTTTTTTAATATATCCAACAGTGGCAACAGTGTAGATTATTTTGAATGTCAGCTTTCTCAAAGGATTTAAAAAGCCATTATAATTTCTTTAATATTCAATACAGCATGTTTTGTCAATGCTTCACAAGTCACAAATATAAAAGGAAATATTAAAAATAATATTAATAATGATATTTAGTATTAAAAAAAGTCTGCATATCTTTAAAGAAAAAAGAAAATTGGAATTGTACATCGACAAAAATACATCGACATATAAAAATACATAAATCAATTCATCTTTAATAAAGTAAAATGAGGTTTTATTGGATAAAGTTTTATTAGTCGATATTCGCGTTTGCATTCACAACATATAAAATAAATTATCCAGAATTTCTATCGTGTGAATTTTCTAACTCCACCAACAGCAATTGTTCATGCGATGCTTCGCAGAAGCTGTAATTAACGTAGTAATTCAAATTGGAATCTAACATCTTCTCGAAATACCGGTAAGATCATCAGAAATGTACAGTGCGATATTTCGCGAACGTAAATCATCGTGTGAACTTCCAACGTTACTTCACGAAGTTACTTGACGTGCTCGTTATCTGTGACATAATACACTATTCATTTGTTGTCACGCGTTGTCACGGTGTGGTGTATGCATGCAAACGGCAGAATATCCAAGTCATTCATTGTGCTGCAATGGGGAGAAAGGCTTCGCGGAAATCGTAACAAAGCAACGGCGCGGCGTGAGAAGAATCGACCGTCACGCTTATTGAAATTGCAAATTCAACTCGCGAAAGAAACGAAAGACGAGGAGGATAACAAAGCTAGAGAGCACTTTTGCACGATTGAAACCTTTACAGTTTTATAGCGGAAAATAATGATGAATTATTCAGAATCATTGTTCTGTACTCTCTCTCTCTCTCTCTCTTTTACTTAAATAATTAATTATTTAACTTCTTTTTAGTATTAAATTAACCAGAATGAAGTTGAATTTCTGCAAACAGTGTTTGCTGTTATCTGTTCAAAATTATCTAGACAATTATTTAGATAAAGAAATGACTTTATTCTATATAGAATAGTAGAATACGTATTCTTTTTACTTTTATCTCAGATAAAGTGTTAATTTTTTTTCAAATTATCTTAATGTGTAGCAAATTTTAATATACGCTCCTCAGCGTTGGATTTTAAAACATATCTCCTTTTTTTATTCATGTTTAATGTTGTTAGATCAATGTTAATATGACAATTGATTTGTAATTCTCTGAATATTAAGTCTGTTTTTTATTCCTGCATTCTCTGAAACTGGTGCACACGATACAATAAGTTAAAGTAAAATAATTAATATGTATTTGTTTCACTTTAACTTATTGCATCGTATGCAACGTTTAGAGACTACAAGAATAAAAGCAGATGTAATGACTCGATGTGTCTCAGCGTCTATTACCTTCTTTGTTTATCATTTAAAGGTAAAAGTATCTTCAATATTGTACTTTATATTTAAAATCTATAAATAGAAAAAAAATCCTATTTTCGACCAAAGTGGATCTCAGTGCTCTGATATTTCGGTGTGAATTTATATACATATCTAATTTTACAAATTGCGCGCGTATATTGAAATCTTTTTCAATTTTGAAACGCAATCATGAACAAAACCAGAATATCAATACTACATATTAAATTAACAAACAATTTAATAATAATATTGATGTTAATGAAAATATTATTAATTTGATGCTAGATAAGATACTTAAACACTGTAAATAGTTTTATTGCGAACAATATAACTTCAGTTAAGAATCAATTCGCGATTTCTCATATTCCACATGATATGTCTTTCCAATTCGATCACGAGACTTCGACGATAACTTTGTCGCAATAACCAATAATTAATGAGTGAACGTCGT